CTTGGATTTATCCATGGTTGGCCTACCGGGGGTTGAAAAGCTCAATAAATCGCGTGCCAGTGGATGTTGCACATTGGTGGTTGTGACACATATTTTGAGTGACAGGGAGCCACAGCAGAGGAGTGAAAGAGCCACATGTGGCTCCAGAGCCACAGGTTGCTGACCCCTGATCTAGTCTAATGAAAGGAAGGACTAGAGGAGAAGTGATAGTAGTGTCCCAATATTTGAAGGGCTCCTACAAGGACAAGGGGGTCAAACTATTTTCCAAAGCACCAAAAGGCAAGACAAGAACCAATGGATGGAAACCAACCAAGGAGATAAGCAACCTAGAACTAAGGAGAAATTTCCTAATGGTGAGAGCAGTCAACCAATGGAACAGCTTGCCTCCAGAACTCGCGCGTCCTCCATTACTGGAGGCTTTCAATAAGAGACTGGACAGCCATTTGTCTGAAATGGTATAAGGTTTCCTGTTCAAGCAGCGGGTTGGACTAAAAGACCTCCAGGTTCCCTTCCATCTCTATTATTCTATGTTCCAGGTGCCCAATTTGTGCGGCACTGTTTTTGGATTCGTTTTGCTGTCCGTCTTGTCTAGAGACCACTTCAAGCACCCAGTGATATCAATATGAAGCTGCTGGTCCTAATTAAGGCCCAGTTTCTAAGTGTTTTTGAGTTTCACTTGAGCAGAGGACAGAGTGTCAAATTCAAAATTCAATTCAAACCTTTATTGTCAGTGCACAACATATGTACAATGAGATTGGTTGTGCTCCCTTAGTGCACCCCACCCCAACACAAAACAACTCACAGTGAAGACAGAAAATCCCTAACCCAATAATTATCCAGGAGAACATTCTTTCCACATTCCTAACTTGAAGTCTCCAAAAAATGAATTCAGTAAAATCAGACAAGCTGATGTGTTGGTATCCTTCCTCCTTCCCTGACTACATGCTTAATGACCGTTGAAAGTTACAGAGGCATTAAAAAATGTGTCTTACGACCGTTTTGCTCAGTTACGATTGCAATTGCAGCATTCCCCCTGATTCTATGGTTAAAATTTGGATGCTTGTAGTTATGACGATTACAGTACAGTAGCATTTTAGAATATAGAATAACAGTTGGAAGGGACTTTGGAGGTCTTGTAGTCCAATCCCATTTAGGCAGGAAACCCTTCCTACCATTTCAGACAAATAGTTATCCAATTTCTTCTTAAAAACTTCCAGTGTTGGAGCATTTACAACTTCTGGAGGCAAATTGTTCAACTGATTCTAACCGTCAGGAAATTTCTCCTTAGTTCTAAGTTGCTTCTCTCCTTGATTGGTTTCCATCCATTGCTTCTTGTCCTGCCCTCAGGTGCTTTGGAGAATAGGTTGACTCCCCTCTTCTTTGTGGCAACCCCTGAGATATTGGAAGACTGCTATCATGTCATCCCCTAGTCCTTCTTTTCATTAAACTAGACATACCCAGTTCCTGCAACCGCTCTTCATATGTTTTAGCCTCCAGTCCCCTAATCATCTTTGTTGCTCTTCTCTGCACTCTTTCTAGAGTCTCCACATCTTTTTACATCATGGCGACCTAAAGTGGATGCAGTATTATAACCAGCATTATAAAGTGGTATTAACATGCTATGTGATCTTGATTCTATCCCTCTGTCTTATGCAGCCTAGAACTATTTTGTTAAAAGAAGATACCTTTTGACAATAGCTTTAAATTTATAGCCTTTCAAAATGAACAGGATTTATTGGCTGTTAAGAAGTAAATATACTAAACTTAAGTCACGAAAGTACTGTGGATATGATTGGCACCCTCTTTCCTTGTTTAACTAAGGACACAACAGTAAGCACCTTTTCATTTATATAATAGATATTCAACAAATTATAGGGTATGGTTACTCACAACCGATGGTAAATGAGTTTTTGGGTAACTGTCAGTTTCATCAACCATTCAGATTTGTCCTCTATTGTTTTTGGGTTTTTTTATTAAAAAGTTTTACAGAAGGTTTACATATTCCCCCCCTTCCCTACCACCCCCACCCCCTCCCCTCCCTTTCCCCCACCACCCCTCCCCCCACCCCTTCCCCTTCCCATCCGCCCATCTCCGCCCCCCTTCCCAGAACAAATTACAGGGTATAACATTCAACAAACATAATCCATCCTAATCTAAGTAATTATAACATTCAGCATCTCTTATTCCTTCAATTCCCTAATTACCCTACTAACTTAATTACCTAAAAACACACCAAATATCTACATATTTATTCATAACCTATCTGCAACTTCTTATTCCGGTGTTTATTTTGGATATAATCTATCCATCTTCTCCAGTCCCTTAAGTATCTTTCATTTGAATGTTCCTTCAAGTACGCCGAAATTTTTGCCATCTCCTCTAGGTTTGTTACTTTCATTGTCCATTCTTGGATTGTAGGTAAATCTTGCTTCTTCCAATATTGTGCCACCAACAATCTTGCTGCAGTTATTAAATTCAAAATCAAATCAGTCTCTATAACCGTACAGTCCGTAACTATACCCAGCAGAAACAAGTATGGTGTAAATTTTAACCTCTTTTTAAGAATGTTTTGTAAAATCCACCAAATTTTTATCCAGAATGCTTTAACCTTTTTTACATGTCCACCAAAAATGGAAGCATGTAGCATCCTCACAATCACATCTCCAACATTTTGGTTGTACATTCGGGTACATACAAGATAGTTTTTTGGGATCTAGATGCCATCTATAAAACATTTTATAAAAATTCTCCCTTAAGTTTTGCGCTTGTGTAAATTTCACATTTCTTACCCATATTTTTTCCCATGTTAAGATTTGTCCTTTACTGTTGAGCAACAATCCAGAAAGTTACTTGTTTGCACTGACCAGAGTTGGCAAGATTTTTTTTTTTCTTCCCTTTTCTTTGAGGGGCTTTGACTTCGTTAATGACCTCGCAGCTCATTTTACAACTGAAAAAAGTACAATTCCTCTTTTAGGGAGTGTTGATCCCTGGCCAGCTGTGGCCAAGGCTAATACAGGTTACTGGGCCTAAGGAGTTCGGTTTACACTGGTAATTCCAGATCGATTTCCAAGCGCTGCATGTGATCAATTCGAATGCCAATTTTATTACAAAGGGAAACGGAGAAATCCAGCAATCCTCTTCCCGATTAACCCTTTAAATCTAATTAGTGAAGTGTAAACCAGGCAGCTGTTTGGGAGATTAGTCAACTGGTTGTCTTGGGAAGCTGTTTGGCAGAGCCACAAGCTGGATTCAGGAGGTATCAGCCAACACTTGACAAGCACTTACAACACCTGGTAGAAAAGTATTCCAACTACCTTTAAAGAATGCTGTCTCTTAGCACTAGTCATAGATTTAAGGGGAGCACTCAATTCCATCCCTCAACAAGCTTTGGGCAAAACTGGGAGCTTCCTGCGTAAATTGCCATCTTCTCCTTTTGCTGTGGGTCTGGCTGAAGATGTGTACCTCTTTGAGGACACAGAGGGAAAAGCTAAAATGGTAGAAACATTTTCTACATACTTAGAAAAATAATATAATTGTAAAGCCCCTAAAGGCAGAACAAGAAATTTCCTAGTGGTGGAAGCAATTAACCAATTAACTTTCCTCCAGAAGTTGTGGGTGCTCCAATACTGGAGGTTTTCAAGAAGAGATTGGAGAGTCATTTGTCTGAAATAATCTAGATCACCTGGATGTGTAGCGGATTGAACTAGAAGACCTCCAAGGTCCCTTCCAACTCTACTATTCTGTTAATTCTGTTACATAAAATATTCAAGGCAGATTCAATGCAATTTGTTGATGTTGCCTTTCCCATTCTTCTCTCATGCAAAAATGCATCCCCTTCTTTTCGTTTCGGTATTCTTTCCATCATTTCAGCAAAACTCGAATTTCCCAGAGTCGGCCCAACAGCTGGGTCTCAATCTTCTTTACGCAGTCCTTTTGAGCAAACAAATGGATTTAAGGCAGAGGCTCCAAGGCCTTGCCTTGGATTGCAGAGAGGGAAGGCTGGCCATCAACTATGATAAAACAAGCACAATCCTGGTTACCAAGAGACTGGCCAGCTGCAGGCATTGCTGAAACTTTAAAGGCTTCTGTAGAGCACAAACTGAACATCAAGGATTTTATTCCTTACCTGTATGGAGAAGAGGTCATTGTGTTGGCCAATAGAGTTGCTAACACTTGTAGCTGGGCTTGTGATTACATCACCACCACTGTAAATGAGTCAGAACAAAAGCTATTTCTCCCTTACACAACTTGCAGATTCGTCCTTCTAGAAGAAGTCCAGTCCAATTTTTTATAGGACGTTTCTTGGTGAATTTCCAAGCCTTAATTTTGTTTGGTAACTGGATTAATTTATTTAGTGGTTTGGATGCTATTTTGCCATTCAAAATGCTGGCTAAAATTGATCTTGATTGGTGATTCGGTTGTTTCTTTGCTCATTCAGGATCATTTTCTATCATCCTGAAGAAAAGGAATTGATTTGGATTTAAAATCTTGCAGTGTTGCAACTGGACTTTCTGGTTTTTCCTTGGAGACGTTTTGCTTCTCATCCAAGAAGCTTCTTCAGTTCTGAACTGAAGTCCAGTTGCCTCTTGAAAAAGCACCTTTGGGGCAGCCATGACCTGGATGACTGAGAATCTCCCTAGACATCTCTTTAGCTTAATTCCCCCACCCCCCTTTTAGTTCATTTTCCCTTGTCCAGAGCAGTTAATTTGACCATAAGTAAAGATGGAAGAATTCTTTGATTCATAACTTCCCATGTCCTCCCATCAGATGTTCCTAAGATTTTGCTTGCCATGGGATCAGCCATTCCATTTTCTTCCTTTTGAGACCACTGAATTAAACACGGGCTCCCTTTTACTGAGTACTTAAATCAGTCTCGCCAGCATCTCTCTGTGAATTTAGGTTTCCAGGAAAGAGTGATCTTTTTTCCCAGACAGACAAAGTGATGATCTGGTATAACTCTTGAATTGTAATGCTGCCTTTATGTGGGCATTTCTTTATAGGAATATGATGATGGATACGGCACTTCGTATGATGAACAGAGCTACGATTCCTATGATAACAGCTATAGCACTCCGGCACAAAGGTAAGGAAAATAATCATCTCACGCACTTAGCTGGAATCACCCTCTTTTTAACAGGGTTAGAAGTTTCAGCTGTAGGTGGCTGGGTTGAAGGATCGTTTCTTCTGTTGAAGATGTCAGAGAGCTAATGGAGTTTTTGGGGTAGGGAAAAACAGTGACCCCTCCAAAGTAGTTGTGTCAAACTCAAGGCCCAGAGGCCAGATCCGGCTCATGCGATGCTTAGATTTGGCCCGTGGGACCACCCTGTAAAGAGCAAAGGACTGGCACTGGGTGCCTCTACCAGCACAAACGGAGCTCCGTTTCACTGGGAGAGGGTTGCAGGAGGCTGTCACAACCGAAAACCGAGCTTGGGAGCCCATTTTCACTGGCAAAATGCTCGGGCCATCACAGGCGCCCCTGACACGAGTGACATCGAGCTGGCCACGCCCACCTTGCTCCCTCTCCCCCTTGTGAAACACAACCCTGATGCGGCCCTCAATGAAATCGAGTTTGAAACCCCTGCTCCAAAGCATTTGGGGAGAGTTCAGGACACCCTGCCTATCCAGAGGGCATCCTTTCCCTTTTCATCATGTCAACTTTTAAATTGTAGAAATGAAGGTTCATGTTCATGTTGGAGTAAAATAACGTGCAGGTATCTGGGTATGATGACTTTGTGCCCTCAGAAAGTCCAATTAAGTTGGCCTACAGTGCCTGTGGTCTTGGAAGAGGTTCTGCTCTCTTTTCCTATAACCTGCTGGCGATATGAGTTTTCTTGCAATAATATCAATATTCATGGTTGACCTCACCTCTCTGTGGTGCTAACTCACACCACGGATGTCTTAAGTATAACCCCGCCTATCATTTCTCCTCTAATGATTAATTAATAATGATAATAATGAATTCTATATTTTTAATGTTGTCCTTGTGCCTTGTTTTTATTTTAACGTTTACCTTATTTCCCTTCTCCTTCCCTTGGTTTTATTTTGGGGTCATTTTACGGCTATTGAAAATGACTTCGGGGGTTTTCTCTGATGAGAAATGGCATAGAAGCACTTTTACTAATAACAAAATAGTGTTGTCCTCTTTCAAAATGCCCTCGACAATTAAATATTTTTTTTGTTTTATCGCTATCTTTGCATACATTTTGTGCCAGGGAGTATATAGGTCTTACATGCATGCGCATTGAAGCAGTAGAACAGTATTTCAGGTGTGGTAAGCTTTTAAATGCCATTGAAGGAATTTCTTTAAAATGCTGAGCTAAAATGTAATCGTGAGGACTTAAAATGATTTAAAGGGATTATCTTACAAACTGGAAGCAAATTTCAGCAGCTACTGCCTAACCATTCTTCTCGTTCTTCCTGAAGTGAATTCAATGCATTGTCATTCACAGATATTGTAGCAGGATAGAGAGATGGCTGGCTAGATGGATTTAGTTATTTATAGGAATTACTTTTGACAACTGACTGCAGGGATATAAGATCCACTGGTGTTTGTGCTGGCAAAATCCACTCAATTCCACTGACTAGAGAGAAATACGACGTGGGCAATAGTGTTCAGAGGAAACTAACATCAATTTGCACAACTTTAACTGAGACAAGTCAGTGCACAAAAAGAAAGCCACAATTAACTAGATTCCAAAAAAAATAGCGGTGTAGATGTTGAAGACTGTACAACTCTGAACTTAGTTGTTTTGGGAGAACCTGTTTAATACTCAAAACTATATATGTTGATCCCCCCAAATTGAAGACATAAAACGGCTGGATATTTGTAAATGAGGGTAGCTAGGTTGCTTTAAACCAGGGCTGTCAAACTCATGGCCCATGAGCCAGATGTGTCATGCACTGGCCACGCCCACACCCGGTTTAGCGAAGGGGGGAGGTTGTGATACGTCATGTGACGACACGAGTTTGACACCCCTGCTTTAAACCATCATTTCTTGAAAGCTGCCCTTTGTAACTTGCTGAGTTTTTATTCTTTAAAGTAACCGGCTGGTTGATCTTTGCACTTCTTCCACGTAATTCTTTATGTTAATCTTTGGGCTACACATGATGTTAGATAGCATTGTGGGAACTCCATTATTTTTTTATTTTATTTTTTTATTAAATTTATATCGCTGCCCATTCGCCCATGACGACTCAAGGCGGCTTACAGAATATAAAAACCACATTTAAAAACAGTAAAACGAATTAAAAAATCAAATAAATTAATGTAATAAAATCACCCCCACCTCCCGCCCCAGCGACAGTCGATCACATGAGCCATTTAATGGGATCCATCCCACTCTGGGTTCCCCAGGCCCGCTGGCAGAATCAGGTCTTCCGGAAGAGAATTAGAGTGGGGGCCATTCTAATCTCGGGGGTGGGGGGTGATGTTCCAGAGAGAGGGAGCCACCATGGAGAAGGCCCTTCTTCTGGGTCCCACCAGGTGTATCTCCCTCAGGGATGGGACCCGCAGCATCCCCTGCCTCCCCGCTCTAACGTGTCAGGTAGATGTGACCGACAAGAGACGGTCCCTCAGATAACCTTAATTATAAGTCTTCTTGAACTACCACCTCACTAATCTTAGTGTCAGAGCCTTAAGAATTTGTTAATTTGACTGGTCCAGAACAATTCCACTATCAAGTCCTTCTGTGAACAGAGAAACAAATGGAAAATCGGAACAATAACAGATCACAAATTCTGCTTTAAATGCATTTTGTAAACAGTCCTGGTATGTGTGGCCTGGTTTGTTTGTTGTTGTTTTTTAAACACTTGCTGTGCACAAAATTAGGCCACTGGGCTGCGAGCCTTGCGGGTTTTTTGCCGTCTCCGACACTAGTCTTTGCAGAGGCAAGAATATAGGGGCAAATGCAAACCCATTGCTGATCATTCTGTTGCTGATGTCAGCCCAGTATTTAATGTTCTCCAGCATACATAAGATTTATCACAGAGGAATTATGGAATAATGGCGGAGTATAGAAACAGAGTCCACCAGGGAGATGTACTACATCATTTGGATTTAGCGCTACCATCTGCTTAATAGCGCTCAGATCACTACCAAGATACTTATGATCAGCCATTCATGGCAGTGACAGATGCTGCAGAGAGAGTTAACATGGCAGAGAATGAAGTTTGTTACTAAAACTCAAGAAGATGTGACCAGAAAGAGAAGGGATTTTGTTTCCCAGGAAAGATGGCTTTTATCCCCAGTTCTTATCCGTCTCTTATAAGATAATAAGCAAACATTATAGTTTTGGAATTATCAAGAGAGAGTCACTTCGGCATAAGGTTGAGGGAGAGAAAGATGGGAAGAAAAACGGAGAAAAAAGCAACAGGATCCTCAAGGGTCCTTGATGCTCTCTGAGCTTTGGAGATGTTTCATTAACTTGGTTGTTTTCTTGCAGACGTTTCATTGCCCGACTAGGTAACATCATCAGTGTTAGAAGAGAATGGGGTTGCTTTCTGTTTATATACAAGCAGCTTGCCCTGTCAGTGCTGGTGGAAGTGTTTGTGATTCAACAACACTTGGTTCACCAATATTGTCGGGGCAAATCGTTCGTATATAAACAGAGAGCAAACCCCACTCCCTTCTAGCACTGATGACAGTAACTGGCTAGGTAGTGAAATGTCTGCCAGAAAACAAGATGAAAGAGAACGAAGGACGCCCAGAGTTTAACTCTGAGCTACAATATTCTCTTCTTATCAATACCTCAAGGAAATTTTATGTTCCCATAGTAGCGCACTTACTAATTATGAATAGGTTTGAATGAACATCTTTGAATGAAGCTGCCGGCTAATTTAGTTTAGTTTACTTTATTGTCATTGCACCTCGTACAAATTAATTAAATGCCATCTTCAGTGTACATTATAATTCTAAAAATAAAACACAAACACACCTCCTTCACATTCTATACAATTGAATTGAAAACCGATATTGCATTAATATTGCACTATACAGTAGAATTCAATACAGTTACTGCCCTGGCATAGAAGCTGTTTTTCAGCCAATTGTCCTTGTTTTTATTATCCTGTACCGTCTGCCAGATGGTAATAGTTCAAAAAAAGGGTGCTCAAAGATGAGATGGATCTTTAAGAATGTTTTGAACTTTCTTAAGGCAGCGGGAGCTATAAAGCTCTTCCAAAGAGGGGAGAGGGCAACCAATGATCCTCTGGGCAATGATGTCAACCCTCTGGAGCGCTGTCCTATCTGCCACTGTGCAATTGGCAAACCATACACAGGTGCAGTAAGTTAAAATACTCTCTGTGGTGCAGCAATAGAAGGTCACCAGCAGTTTTTCATTCAGTTGTTGTTTCCTGAGAAGTCTCAGGTAGTATAATCTCTATTGAGCCCTTTTGACCAGTGCTGCAATGTACCCAGGTCAGGTAGTCTTTTATGATAACCCCCAAAAACTTAAAACTGGCCACGTGCTCCACTCGGTCTCCATTGATAAGCAAGGGCTGGATGTCTGATCTATTCCTTCTATAGTCCACTATAAGATCCTTGGTCTTACTTGTGTTAAGGACCAAGTTATTGTCTCCACACCTCGAAAGCAACTGTTCCACCTCATCTTGATAGGCAGACTCATCCCTCATCCCTTCCCCCCCCCCCACCCCAGAGATAATTCGTGGAGGTTAGGGGGTCAGATCCAATGTGGTTGTGAATCAAAATTAAAAGCAAAAAGGCAAGTAAAATAAGACTTTTGAACTTTACATGCAAAGAATGCCCCTTTCTTTTGGAATGCGTGACGTCATTGTTCAAATCTCTAGGGTTCCTACACATTATTTTCATCATTTGTCCTTGTTTTTCAGAGGGTTTTCTTTTCTTTTCTTTTCTCTTTCTTTCTTTCTTTCTTTTCTTTTTTTTTTTTTTTGCCATTTCTCTTTTACTGTTGTTACAGCCTACCTCCCCCTCTTCCTCCCAAAATCGAGTGGCTTGTTATGACTTTTGTGGCCAGGAGTGCCTTGACTGAAACGCTCGAATTCTGACGATGTTCTCAAGCCGCAGCGGAGGACTGAATTGAACTCCTGAGTCCAATAAGAAAGGAA